TAATCGGTGAATATTTATCAAAATAATTAACTAATCAACAAAAAAATTGGTATCAGAATAGGAACATCCGAAATTCATTTGACTGATGATGTCTCTATCGTTTACAAATAATCAAATCCCATTAATAATAATCTGTACCGAAGTTTTTCTGCCACGAACAATTCACCAGGTCTAGCCTGTTAATAATAATGATTAACTATTTCCAGAGGGGAAGAACGATGACTGGGCATTACCGGTTGCCCCGAGGCAGTTTCCTTTCATTGCAATTATTAGATACCATAATGGGGTGGTTGCCATTGGGGCCCTGATCTCTCGAAGCCTAGTTTTAGGCTCTGCCGTCCATACGTCTGGCAAGCCTGGAAGCATTGCGATTCAATTGGGATGCATTTCAGTACATAATTGCTCCACTCCACTGATCTCATCTTTCGAACGTTCTTGGCGCAGACACAAAGTACTTATGCTTTTTCGGGTAAGTGGTGGTAATCCCTAATAATAAACAAGAATAATTATGTCGAGATCATAGTGGCTTTAAGAGCGAAGGAAAAGGACCGGAGAAGGGAAGGCTCTGTATATCGAGCCAACCATGAAAAATTACCAATTTTGTGTTTCTCACTTGATGCAGCGAGATTGTGGTACTATACGAGTCACTTCCTGCAAGATTAGTGCAAAAAAAATTAATATTTGCATAATTTTTTAGGAAATTATTTACAAGCCATGTGCTATTATATCCGTATTTTCACAGGGGAAACCGTCACTTCTCCCATTTTCATTTATTACGGATTTTCAGCTCAATATATTAGCCAAGTATAGTCACACGATTCAAACCATTCCAATTGGTACTGCAATGGATTATATGACCCCAATGTGTACATACGTGGGATTGAATGGACATAGTGGCCAGGTATACTCGATGTCAGTGAAGATTTCTAATCGAGCATCGTGCCTAAAAAGAGTGCCTGTTCCTAGGTCCCACCGATGTTTTGAAAATCTTGACTCGTCTGTAATTCTACCCGATGTAAGCATGAATATGAACTGAGTGCCGCCTATTAATACAAATGAATTACTTCCATCAATTAATTTTATTTTACCGACTACATTTACTGTTTTTTTCTCACTACAGAAAACCCTTGGCGGGTCAATAATTTGCGGGACACGTTTAGTCAGAATGATGAGCATGTATTCGGTTCTTCACAAAACGGGTCCACACCGCATGTTCGATTTGACTGAAGTGTGAAAAAAAACTCTAATTTTATATCACCTTTAGCACAAATGTGTACTACAAAATTATTATTTCCATTGTATAATTTGATCTTACTATCAATTTACTATGATATTCGAAGTTGTGAAATAATTTTATCACGCAGTAATATAAAATACTGATAAGCGCTTCAAATTTCAGCAACGGCGTTAATTTTCCAACTCCGGAAATATAATTCTTAAGATTGCGGCAATATTATACCACGTGTAACAAAAATTATTGCATTGCAATGGAATTTTTTTTTCTCACTGCATTACAGCTTATTACAGCCTATATAAAAAAAAGAAACTGTGGAATTTT